TGAGTGTGCACACATTGTCATGCTGAAGAAGGAGGATCTGTTCAGTTAAACTGTTAAGAAAGCAAATTAAGTGTCTATTGATAGAAAGATTCAATGCTTGTCTTTATGTCACCACACTGTATCACATTCATTCATTACAAACTGATGCAAACTGACAGGCAAAATTAACACATGTCAACTTTGTGTCTTTACTCTGAGGGCTAATAGGCATCCTAGGGTATTTTTTTACTATTATATGTTTAGCTAACAGGCTGATACTGTCAAAAATGAATGGGCTAGTCTTCTAGTGGAAGTAGTCCTGGGCCCAGGACATAGTACAGTGCCCAGAAAAACCTACAGGCTAATCAACTGTATGAAGATACTGTGCTGAAAATGAAAAGGAAACAGACAAACAAACAAAAAAACTTAAAAGGCATTGAAATTCAAAGGCATTCAGAATTTGAAAAATTCTGAAAATCATGGGTTATATTTCTGGGCTACAGGAGAAGTGGGAGAAGTGGGATGAATGCCCAAAGCAACCATCTAAGCATACAGGAAAAAAAAGGTATGTCAAAACTGAGGTTCTGTGTGTTTTATTTCTTCACTCTTTTAGGCTTTGGGAAAGTGGGGAAACCTGTGTAGATGTAAACTATGTATTCACTGAATCTAGTTAAGAAATTAACAATTTGAAAGTACTGTTCAATTTGTGTAAAAAATTTAAAATGGCACAAATTAAATGGCCTTACAGGAGTCTATATACATTTGCACACTATATATACTGCAGATAAGGAACAAGTTCTTAGCAACAGAATTTTTTAAATAAGGAGAGTAACAACTTGGAATGGACAGTAGTCTTTTTCATTTAAATACTTTATTTTTGTATTATATTATTTGGAAAGACAAGATCAGATGATTCCCCTGAAACGTGGGGAAGGTTGATCCTTCCCTGATGAAATACAGAGGCTTTTCAAGGATTTTGGAGGCTGCAGGGTATCACAAACAAGAATGACACTGCTCTACACTTTTAACAAAAGGCACTTTATTACTTCATTTTCTCACACTTAGTAATATATAAATATATTATTTTTTTTTATATATATATATATTATTTTTTTTTTCTGTAAGAAACCCTGTAATTATTTAAGTAGTACTGAATTTTGTGGTAAACAAACTAGCATGATTCCAGTGTAAACTATCAAAAAAGTGCAAGAAATTTGGCCATCAAGTCAAACACTTTTGCATGTCTATGCATGATTTTTAACAGTAAGCAATGAATACTAATTAAGCATGAGTGAAAAAGAAGGGAGAGAAAATAAGAGAAAATGAAAAGGTATCTTAGGGGCATATATTTCATTTTTACCATAACTGGAAAACAGCTGGAAGGTCATCTGAAGTAGAAACATGGTGATATTTTCTAGAAACAAACTGAAAGAAAAAATCTTGGCATAAGTAATATATAAATGTTGCTCTTTGTAAAGCAGAATAAATTAGTAATAAATGTAGGAAACAGCTACAGGTTGATGAGATAAGTTCAGGAAGTAATCTGGATCAAATATGGAAAATAAAAGGGCAGGTTTTGTTTAGGTGGTAACAGTGTGCTTTGATGATAGACAAACATATAATTATTTAGTAAATATTTAGGTTAGTTGAAGCATATAATAGGTTAGTTGCTTTAGATAATTCTTACAAAAAGGTTACTTATCAATGAGTGATTTTAGCTATTTTTAGGTATCGAGTCAGTACAACAGTATCTCATCTTTTTCCCTGCTCAATGAACAGACTGACGTATCTGTCTAGTACAGTAAATTATCCCAGTTATGTGATCCGTTGCAAAGATTAATTAATGAAAGGAAGATTGTCACATTCCTATTACAAATAAGCAAATAATAATAATACAAAATCCTCTTTAAGGATGTTTTCCATAGAACACAATAACTCTCCATCCCCTGTGTAAGAAAGAGGGCAGGGAGGGCAGACAACTGGGATGGCTGAGCAAGGACCTGTTGGTCAAACTGAGGTGCAAGAAGGAAATGCACAGGCAGTGGAAGCAGGGACAAGTGGACAAGGATGATGTCAGGATGTACAGGGATAGGATCAGGAAAGCCAAGACACGGATGGAGCTGAGCTTGGCAAGGGATGTGAAGAATAACAAGAAGGGATTCTATAGGTACATTGGCCAGAAAAGAAAAGCCAAGCAAATGAGAGATTTGATGAACAAGGGAGAAATGTTAATATCAGATATGGAGAAGGCTGACATACTCAACAATTTCATTACCTCAGTCTTCAATGCCATTCAGGCTTCCCACATTTCTCGAGTCCTGAACCTGAAAATGAGGGCTGGGGGGAGCAAAGTCCCTCCCACTGTAAGCAAAGAGCAGGTTTAGAGCACCTGATGAAGCTGAACAGATACAGGTCTATGGGGCCCAGAGACATGCCTTCCAGGGTCCTGAGGGAACTGGCTAATGTAGCTGTAAAGCCTCTCCCAGTCATATTTGAAAGTCCTGTCAGTCAGTTAAAGTCTTCCAATGACGGGAAAAAGGGAAAATTCACTTCAGTTTTTGAAAAGGGTAGAAAGGAGGACCTGGGGAAATTAATACTGGTGAGCCTCACCTCTGTGCCTGGGAAGACCATAGAACAGATCCTTCTGGAAGCAACGTTAAGGCACATGCAGGACAAAGAAGTGATCCAAGACAGCCAGCATGGCTTCATCTAGGGCAAATCATGCCTGACTGATCTGTTGGCCTTCTATAATGGAGTGGAGGCATCAGTTGACAAGGGAAGACAAACCAATGTTACCTACTTGGCCTTCTGTAAGGCCTTTCATACAGTCCCACATGACATCCTGATCTCCAAATTGGCAAGACAGGGATTTGAAATGTGGACAAATGAGTGGCTAAGGAATTGGCTTGAACGTCACACCCAGAGATTTGTGGTCAAGGGCTCTATGTCCAGGTGGAGGCTCGTGTTGGGTGGTGTTCCTCATGGGTCTGTGCTGGGACCAGTGCTGTTTACTGTCTTTATCAATGACATAGACAGTGGGATTGAGTGCACCCTCATCAAGTTTGCAGATGACACAAAGATGAGTGGTGCAGTCGATACAATAGAAGGAAGGGGTGCCATCCAAAGGGACCTGGACAAGCTTGAGAAGTGGGCCCATGTGAACCTCATAGGATTCAACAAGTTGAAAGTTGAAGTGCAAGGTGCTGCAACTGGGTCGGGGCAATCCAGACGTGAGGACAGACTGGGAATAGAACTCATGGATTTACAGCCCAGAAGGGCAACTGTGTCTTGAGCTGCATCAACAGATGTGAGGTTGAGGGAGGTAATTGTTCCCCTCTACTCTGCCCCACTTGCAGTACTGCATCCAGGTTTGGGGTCCCCAGCAAAAGAAGGATGTGGGTCTATTAGAATGGGTCTAGATGAGGACCACAAAGAAGATCAGAGGTCTGGAGCACCTCTCCTGTGAAGAAAGGCTGAGAGAACTCAGAATGTTTGGCCTAAAGAAGAGAAGGCTCCAGGGTGACCATATTGCAACATTTCAGTACATAAAGGGGACTTAAAAAAAGATGGAGAGCAACTTTTTGCTCAGGCAGATAATGACAGGAAAAGGGGGAAAGCATGTGGTGGTTTTACTTGGGTGGGCAGCCGAGCTCCACAACAGCTGATCCCTCACTCCTCCTCCTCAAAAAGGAAGGGGGAGAAAATACGATGCAAAGGGCTCAGGGGTTGAGATAAGGACAGGGAGATCACTCAACAATTATTGTTATGGGCAAAACAGACTCAGAGTAGGGAGACAGTAAGATTTATTGCCTATTACCAAAAAGCTAGAGAAATTAGAAACAAAAGAAAGAAATCAAAAATGTCTTCTTCCCATCCACCCACTTCCACCTTCTCCCCCGAGCGGTGCAGGAGAATGGGGGAATGGGGGCTGCAGTCAGTCAATAGCACTTTGTCTCCACCACTCCTTCTTGGTCACTCTCATCCCCTGCTCCAAAGTGGGGTCCCTCCCATGGGATGCCGTCCTTCTCAAACTGATCCTGTGGGGGCTTCACATAGGCAGCAGCTTTTCAAGAACCACTACGGATATGTGTCCGTACTACGGGGTCCATCCCCCAGGAGCAAACTGCTCCAACCTGGGTCCCCCATGGGTGGCAGCTCTCCCAGACACCCTGCTCCTGCATGGGCTCCAGCCTCCTCCAGGCCACATCCACCTGCTCCACGGGGGGCTCCTCCACGGGCTGCAGCATGGAGATCTGCTCCACAGTGTTACTCCATAGGCTGCAGGGGGACAGCCTGCTCCACCATGTCGCTCACCACAGGCCACAGGGAACTTTTCTGCTCCAGTGCCTGGAGCACCTCTCCCCCTCCTTCACTGACCTTGGTGACTGCAAAGCTGTTTCTCACTCCTCTCTCTCTCCCAGCTGCTGTTCCCCAGCATTTTTTTTTCCCTGTCTTAAATCAGGTTCTCACAGAGGCACAAACAACGTCACTTATTGGCCCAGCTTTGGCCAGCGGTGGGACCCTTATCTAACATGGGGCAGCTTCTGGATTCTTCTCACAGAAGCCACCCCTATGGCACCCCTGCTACCAGAACTCTGCCACATAAAACCACTACAATGGTTTAAAACTAAAAGAGAGGAGGTTTAGAGGTTTCCCAGAGAAGCTGTGGATGCCCCATCCCTGGAGTTATTCAAGATTAGGTTGGGTGGGATTCTGGACAACCTGATCTAGTGGGTGGCATTCCTGCCCATGGCAGGAAGATTGGAACTAGATGATCTTTAAGGTCCCTTCCAACTCGAGCCATTCTATGATTCATTCTATGATAAAAGAAAAAGTATTTTTGGTATAAGTAAAATGTGATAAGCATGCAAAAATGCTGTCAAGAAACATATTTTCCTAGAAAAAATACTTTTGAACATTTACTTTGTCATTATATTAACAAACATACAGTTAATTATTTTGCTGGTAGCAAAGGTTTGTCATGCCAACTACCTTATAAATGATACCTATCTATCTTTCAGAAAGCTCTACATGCAACTGTTCACAAATCTGGGAAGATCTCCAGCAACATTTTAATAGACCTGACTGTTAAGTACTCTTCTAAAACTTTTTAACATCCTTCTATTTATATAAAACCGTGTTTCACCACCATGCTAGCCCCACTTGTTCTCCATTACCTATTTAATATTTATAGCCTCTTCTCTGTTTTCCAGGTTTGCAATACGGTTGAGGATTGTGCTGGACTAAGCTGAAGATACGCATCTTCATATTTCGTGAATGATACACTCTATCAGAACAGTAGCAGTTACATCTTTTGTGGTTACACCTACAGTTTACACCTTTTGCATAAGGTGTCAGGCAGAGGAAATTTAAACATTTTACAAAATATGTTTCTGAATGTATTGAGAAGAAAAAGTTATTATATGCATTCATTCAGATATAAGCAGGCAAGCAATGAGGCTATGAGAAAGTTTTAGAGCAAAGATGAGAAACTAGACTCAGTGAAATGGATTCCATTTTGAGTTATGTTGTGACAGTTACAGGCAGAAATCTAAGTGTGTTGATTGGGCCACAAACCAAACAAGATATGCTATTTTTTACTGACATCTATTTTGAATATGAAAATTGAGTGCACAGTGAAGCAGAATGGAGCAACAGAGTAGGTGAGAACTGCAACTGTTATAAAACAAGAATTTGATGTACACAAATATTCACATACTCTCTGAACTCTTTCACCTGACCTAATGCTAATATGAAGCATAAAAAATAGAAATTATTGGAGCTAAAATGGGGCAGATCATGTAGTTTAATGTCGTAATTCAAATGCACTATAATGCATGTTCTTAATCTGAAACTCTTGACAGAGTTTACCTGTTCCAGTCATGACAAATGATGTATATCTGCATCAGTGGCTCAATCATTACATATACTGATGGCATGGAGACATCCAACACATAAACAGACACTCAAATCTTTCCACTTAAATAATAGCACTATCCATCATTATAATATCACTCACAAAATTGCAGTGCTCAGCATTACCCAGCAGTTTCATTTGTGTCCATCACTTTGATAATTCATAATTATAATACTAAAATAGATGCTCATGAGTGCTTTGATACCTCACTAGAGTTAAGATGTAGAGAAAGCTGCTCCATATATATCCTGTCTAAAATTTGGTATATACTGTACAGTGTTGCTAGAATGAAATGAAAGACATGTAAAATCATCAATCAATGTCTTGCTCCAGCCATTTGATTGGTTGGAAGTAACCATCCGATTTTTTTCAGCAGAACAAAATTAGGGTGTGGAAGTACAGCTTTCATCATATTTCAAATATTTATTCAACACATTCTCTAAAGATATAACTGTTGAATTATAAAGATTATGGCACACAAGATGTCTTCATTCTTCAAGAAACTTAAATTAAATGAAATGGTCAAAATACAAATTCAGATGAAATGAAATGATAAAAATGCTGTCATCAAAGGATGTGACCAAAGAAGCAAAATCAAATTCTGGTAATATTTTTAAAAGAACCTTAAAACAGTTTTCACTCATGCACAAATAAACACTTCAATGTGAAAAGGACATTCATTTTTACCAGTGAACGATACTAATAGTCAGATTCCAAGCTCTAAAACTATGGATGTTTGAAAAAGGTGGTTTTGAATTAGGCTTTCCTCAGAGTTATGGTCATGAATTAAATTTAATTATACTACTCACAGAGAATAATCTCACATAAATTACAAAAGTCTTCCCAAGAATATCAACATTATTTACATACAACCATGTAACATCAGGTATTCTAGTATGAATATTTTTCACCTGGATTTAAGAAAATCTTTATAAAAACAATGCTGATATAAAATCTCTACCTGACACTGCCAGAAACTGGTTTACACTACAGGTTTCTACTGGCTTCAAGAACAGACAAGACATTAGTATCAGTAATTCAACATTTATTATCATCAAAGTAATGACAAAAAAAAAAAAGTTCTTACATAATGAGCACAATGGCTTTGAAACACAACAATTGCTCTCCAGGTAAGAATGCCATGTCTCCCCGTTGTGATGAGGAGCTGGAATATACCATTTCCAAGTGTACAAACACCTATTTTCATCTATGGTCAGGAAAACTACTGTATCCTAAGTCCATTATTGTTACGGAAATGAATACAGCTTAGCACAGTCACAGATTTTTTTATCACCAATATGAAGGAGAACATTGAAGTTTTGGAAAGGTCAAAAAGATACATTTATTCCATTTTTTTTGGTTGTTGTTTTGTTTTGTTTTGTGTTTGTTTTCTTTGTCAAAACTATAAATTGGGGTAGATACTTAATATATTTTAGAATTATCAGTAAAGTTGATGAACAGCAGCTAAAGATGATCAATTGTTGTTTACATGCATGTAAGGGCAATTTATCACATTGCTTAGCTAAAACTGAAAACATTTTGATTACCTGAACATGAACATACAATTGGGACAGAGAATTTCCAGTATTAGGTATATAATTGTAGACAACATCATGTTAAATGGATATCAATATTACAACAGTTATCTTCTCATCTTGTTCTTCAAGTATTGCTAAAAATCCCTAGTTTATTTATTGATTTTGTGAGTCTCCTTTCACAAATGTGGTCTAAAAGATTTGTGTCCTAGTAGAAGCTGTCATTTATAAAACTTAAAATGCTGATCTCTAGAAGATTGTCTTCATGGACTTGTCTAAAAGAAATAGAAACCAACCAATGAACCAACTAAGCAAGAATAAAGAACCAACCAACCAACCAACCAACCAAAAAAAGCCAACACCATAATTTAAAGGCACAAATGTAAAATGTTAAAATTAAGTAGTTCATTCCAGAGTGTAACATGGCTCTCTAAAGCCAATTTTGTTATTAAACTAACCTACATTAATGATGTAGTCTTATATTAACCTTATAATTTTAAGGGATAGTCAGTTGTTTTACCTTCCTATTTCTACCATTTACAAAAATAAGTACCAAAGTAAAATGTCAATTGCTTTTTCATTGTATATCTGAAGAAAACTTTCAGTTCATTTCAAGCTGTCTAGAACTCATGTATATTTCCTCAATCTCTGTTTACTTAGAGTTTTCAATATGATGGATCTACTAGCTTGGTTGTTGCAGAAGCAGTTTTCTCTCATGTTTATATCCAGTGACTAAGATAAAGCGAGTGACAATTTATGGTGGATGCAAGGTGTTTCATTAAGATAAAGTGAGTGACAATTTATGGTGGATGCAAGGTGTTTCATTCTTCTTCTTAGTAGACACATCTACAGAATATCATGATAGTGTCTGAGTGGGCTCAACACACACAAATCCATGGGTTCTGATGGGATGCATCCACGTGTGCTAAGGGAGCTGACGGAGGTGATTGGTGAACCACTCTGTATCATCTTTGAAAGGTTCTGGAGAACAGGAAAGGTGCCTGAAGAGTGGAGGATAGCCAATGTCACTCTGGTCTTCAAGAAGGGCAAGAAGGAAGATCTGGGAAACTATAGGCCAGTCAGTCTCACCTCTGTCCCTGGAAAGGTGTTGGAACAGCTTGTTCTGGATGCCATCTCCAAGCAATTGGAAGAATAGAAGGTTATGAGTAGTCAGCATGGATTCACGAAGGGGAAGTCATGCTCAACCAACCTTGTTGCCTTCTATGATGGCATCACCAGCTGGGTAGCTGAGGGGAGAGCAGTGGATGTCATCTACCTTGACTTTAGCAAGGCTTTCGATACTGTCTCTCATGACATCCTGAGAGCAAAGCTGCGAAAGTGTGGGATAGAGGAGTGGACAGTAAGGTGGGTGGAGAACTGGCTGACTGGCTGAGCTCAGAGGATGGTGATAGGTGGCGCAGAGTTTGTCTGGAGACCTATTACTAATGGTGTTCCCCAGGGGTCGTTGCTGGGTCTGGTCTTGTTCAACATCTTCATCGACGACCTTGATGAGGGAATAGTGTCTGCCCTTAGCAAGTATGCCAATGACACAAAGCTGGGAGGAGTGGCTGACATGCCAGAAGGCTGTGCCAGAAGACCTGGACAGGCTACAGAGATGGGTAGGAAGAAACCAACTGAGGTTTAACAAGAGCAAGTGTACAGTCCTGCACCTGGGAAGGAACAACCGCATGTATCAGTACAGGCTGGGGGATGAACTGCTAGAGAGGAGCTCTGCGGAGAAGGACCTGGGAGTCCTGGTGGATGACAGGTTGACTGTGAGCCAGCAGTGTGCCTTGGTGGCCAAGAAGGCCACTGGGATCTTGGCATGCATTAAAAGGAGTGTGGCCAGCAGGTCAAGGGAGGTGATCCTCCCCCTCTACTCTGCCCTGGTCAGGCCTCACCTGGAGTACTGTGTCCAGTTCTGGGCTCCCTGGTACAAAAAAAGACAGGGATCTCCTGGAAAGAGTCCAGCAGAGGGCCACAAAGATGATACGGGGCCTGGAGCATCTTCCTTATCAGGAAAGGCTGAAAGACCTGGGTCTGTTTGGCCTGGAGAAAAGACTGAGAGGGGATCTCATCAATGTGTATAAATACCTGAGGTGTGGGAGACAGAGGGATTTGGCCAATCTCTTTAAGGCCTGTCTGGATGCCTACCTGGGCAGTCTGCTCTAAGGAACCTGCTTTGGCAGAGGAGTTGGATTCGATGATCTTTCAAGGTCTCTTCCAACCCCTACAATTCTGTGATTCTGTGATTCTGTAATAACAAATCTCTTTTTTTCTGTATCACCATGAAAGCCATAAAATGAACAGACAGGCAGCTTTCTTGATGCTCCAGGAATGATTCCAGAGGTCAAAATTTAACCAAAATTGCTGTGAGATGGACAGGAGATTACCTGATGTTAGCAATGCATACCAAGTCCATAGATAATGCAAAGGATTTTAGCTGCCAGTATTGTCAATTGTGTGTCTTCCTTCAGCACTAAAAATCCATGTAGAAAAATTAAAATTCCTGCCTCACTTCCTTGTCCTTCAGTTAAGCAATGCCTTCTTTCTTAAATGTCACACTGAATGAATTTAGGCTTGAATTTATTCAAAGAGAAATTTAACAGTCCTTTAACTAAGACTAAATATTTTCTTGCTTGTATTTTTTTTTTTTTTCCTGGGGGCGGGTCAGAATTTCAATGAAAATATATCTTCAGTAAATATTTTTTGTCTTGTTTAGTCACCAAATATATAAAATGTCATGTATTCATTGTGTAATTGCTATTTATTTGACATTTACTCTACCTATTGAAATACATGGTAGGAATAAAACATCAGTTACAAAGAGAATATTGACATTTCATTCCTGCTTTGTATTTCAGTGATGGAAATTCCATATTTGTGTACACAGGTATATCACTGAAAATAGCACTGAAACAGAAGGTATGGGAAAAGTGAAGGGAATATCATTCAAAAGAAAGTGTAAAAAAGGATCATTTTCAATGGAAACAGGAAGGGACAGATAATTTTAGGTTTACTGTGTTTAGACCTGTAATGCAATTCTTATATTGAATGTTGGTGTAACTCGTTTATGGCTTAGACCAGGTTTTTAGTTTAAGGTATTTTCCATTTGAAGTTTTAATTACTGTCTCGAATGTGATAACGATAATATGTAAATTTACAATTCTGTTGTGTACTAAAATGCAAACAACCTGTACTGGAAAGTTATGTAAAATGAGAAATCACTGTATAGTTTCTGTGGTTGGTGGGCCCTGACCATAAACTAAATACCCACACAACTTCTTGTTCTCCCCTCCCCACCCTAGAGGAGAGTCAGAAGAGCAGAAGCAAGAAAAGCTCATGAGTTGAGACTGAGTTCAATAAATGAAGGAAGGAATAAAAAGAGAGAGAAACAAGGAGAAGAGAAGAAGAGAAGAGAAGAGAAGAGAAGAGAAGAGAAGAGAAGAGAAGAGAAGAGAAGAGAAGAGAAGAGAAGAGAAGAGAAGAGAAGAGAAGAGAAGAGAAGAGAAGAGAAGAGAAGAGAAGAGAAGAGAAGAGAAGAAGAGAAGAGAAGAAGAAAAGAAAAGAAAAGAAAGAAAGAAAAGAAAAGAAAGAAAAGAAAGAAAAGAAAAGAAAAGAAAAGAAAAGAAAAGAAAGAAAAGAAAAAGAAAAGAAAAGAAAGAAAAGAAAGAAAAGAAAAGAAAAGAAAAGAAAAGAAAAGAAAAGAAAAGAAAAGAAAAGAAAAGAAAAGAAAAGAAAAGAAAAGAAAAGAAAAGAAAAAAGAAAAGAAAAGAAAAGAAAAGAAAGAAAAGAAGGAAAGTGATACAAAAGCAGTCACCATATCTAACAAGCAGACTGATGCCCAAACACTCTCCGAGCAATAGCTGCTCTGGAAAGATATTACACCTCAATTTTTATTGCTGAACGTAATGCCATGTGGCATGGAACATCCCTGTCCCAGCTGTGTTCCCTCCCATCCCTTTGCCCACCCCAAGCCAACTCACTGTGGGGCCAGACTGGGAAATGGAAACTGTGCAAACACTGTTCAGCAATAAAACACTGGTATGCTATCAACACTCTTTTAGTCACAAATCCAAAACATAGCATCATACAAGCTGCTGTGAAGAAAGTTCACCTGGTAACAGCCAGCCACAGCACAATCCCTGATTTTTGCACTTAGGCTTTAGATCAGCTCTGTGATCACATCAGTTAAATACATCGTCAGACTGTGTTATATGTCAGATGTCAGTGGAAAATTCAATTTTCTTCTTTCAATCTGAATTACAGCCACAAGCTCTACATATTACCCCAATGCAAAGTCAGTGCACATCGTAAGTGCACATCTAAAGTAGATTCTGTGTGCCTTTTTTGACTGAAAGCACAGAATATGTTATGAATTAATATGATGTTGGCTACTGAAAACATACTGGAATCTCTTGCATTCCTCAGAATTAATTTCTAACACCCAGAAAGATACTGGAAGCTAGTAAGACAACTTTGGATCAAAAGAAATGACAGAATGCTCACATTAGGCAGGTATCGTACTGTCAGATCATAGCATTGTGTACTGTATTACTAAAGAAAACACCTACTCTCATAGCATGCTAACCCATGCAGAGAGTGTGGAACTGTGGAAATAAGTGAGCTACTGTCATGACAGAAAATGTGTCAACATAAGAAAGAAAAAAGAAAGGATTACAAAATTGATGTAATCAACCTCCTATTAAAAAAAAAAAAAAAAAATAAGTAACCTCTAAATATGTTTCTATGAGTTTGTGGCCACTAACTCATTACAAGAGGTAATTTGTCAAAGATTAATGATTTTGTCTTTATAGGGCATTATCTTAATGGATAATCTAATATCCTTTGACTTTTTTGACAGTTACTATGTCATCTCTATGACCTGTGATCTCTATTTCATCAACCAGTCACAAAATGTGATTTGGTTACTTTTTTCAATGATGATGGGTAGAAAAATTGGGGGTTTGTACTGTCATCACTTTCATCCTTAGTTTACTTATTCAGATTGCTAGGGTTAAGGGAAATCTCATGTGATATTTCAGATTCTGGCTATGCCCCAGAGCCTGGCTGATTAGGCTGTATAAAATTTGAAGGCCTTCTTAAGCATATTTACAAAACACTGCAATTAATAGTTTACATATTACTAAACATATATATATGTTTCAATTTTCATGTTGGTTTAAAACAGAACAGTTCACTTTATTTATTTTTTATTAGGTGATTATTTGGATATAAAGAAAAACAAAAAACCAATTATATTGTGGATCAGTCCAACCTATCTTTGTCTTTGAAAGGAACTGAGACATTTCTTTATAAAAACTGAATTTCAATACTAAACTCTATTTTCTCTTTTATTTTCCACTGCCTTATGGGAGGTGTAGTTTCTTTTTCACAAAGAAACATGCAAATCTGCTAGCCAGGACTGAATGCAAATTTTTCAGACAGGAACTTTAGTTGTGACATTTTCTAGAAAAGGACGATTAGCTATTGTTGTAAACAATAAAAACACTGCTGTGATTTCTTTTCCCCTATAATAATATGTAGGAATACAAGTTGTAAATGCATAATATGAAGACAAAGAAAACAAGAGAAAAGCAGTAGTAGTGTAGTAGTATCAAAAAGATAGCAAATATTACATGGAGATTTGTGTGTTGGGCTTTATATGTTCTTTGCCTTAAAATAAATAATTTTCTTTCACATAGGGGTTTATTTAAAAGTTTTGCCATCTTACGCCTGTAGCTCTTTTAACCAGCGTTTGAATAAATCCATATTGTTAAATGTTTTTCACACAAATGATGCCTCCTATTGTTGTATGCCGTACTTTCAACTTTATATTATTTCCTCTGATCTTTTAAAATAAACATTCCAGCTTACTTCTTCTTTCTAAACCATAACACTCCTAAAAACAGTCATACCCTGTGTATATAAGAACTATATTTCCCATAGCTGATAAGCAGTGAGTCTTGAATCTTACTGATCTTCAGCTCTTCAAAAACTATTGAAAATTTGTTTTCTTATATTTAATGTGAATGTTGGATTGCAAAAAGCTGTTTTTATATAATATTGAAATAAATGCATTTTT